TTTACAGATTAATTAACTGTTTCTTTCTTATGTTATATATCTACCTGTATAAATATATGTAAACTTATTAGCATTCTGGTTTTGTTTCTCCAGAGAACCCTGTCTAACATATCAAGTCAGCCTGAGCTTACCTTGCTGGTTGGGTAACCCGACATTGACTGGAAGGCACATGGCCTCACCATTGGGTCAACAATTACTACTGAGTTCCCATCAAATGGCCATGGGCATGGCTGCCCTGGGGTTCCCAGGTCATCAGCCCTGATGATTTCACTGGGTCCTGGACTCGTGGGGTCCAGGATCTGGTCTCAGAGGGGTCAGAAAGATGTGACGGGACCACAAAAGGACGGTCTTGACTCTTCTTCTTCTTTTTTTTTTTCCAGTGTGGAATGGGGGCACTGCAGAGCCTGCGAGGAGCAAGCCGGCCCCAAACTTCTCCAAATCCACATTTCTTTGCCTCCAATTCTTAGATGTCCAAGGATAGGAAACCAGAGACATGGCTGTGTAGGAGGACGGCCTTGACTCTTCAACGTGAAATGGATACCCCTGCATTGAGGCCCACACCTGTGTTTCTTGGGAGCCTGGATTCAACGAGCTACTGCCCAGTCTCCCCTCCCAGGGTCTACTTTCAGACCTCAACCTGACAGCTTAGCCAGGCCAGGCAGGGACAAGGAGGGTGGGTGACAGAAACAGAGAGGGAGAGCAAGCCCACCTCTGATGATGGGCACAAGGCAAAATGAAGGTGGTACTCAACTGAACCCCAGCCTTTCCCCTGTCTCATGGAAATCGATGGATCGATCCATGACTTGGTTGATTGTTCTTGTTAGATGCTGTCCAGTGAATTCCGATCCATGGTGGGCTGATATGGCACAGCAGACCTAGCCCCATAGGGTTTTCAAGGCTGTAATCCTTACAGGAAGGAGCTCTGGAGGTGCAAGGGTTAGGGGCTCAGCTGTTAACCAACAGGTCGGCAGTTCAAACCCATCTGCTGCTCCACAGGGGATGTGGCCATCTGCTTCCATAAAGACTAACGGCCTTGAGAATCCTGTGGTGTGAGAATCGAACATTCTACTCTGTCTATTGGACTGCTGAGTTGGAATCAACTCAATGGCAGCGGGTTTGGATTCTAACTGGAGACTCTTCACAAGAGCAGACGGCCAGGTCTTCCTCTGGCCAAATGGCTGGATGGGTTCCAAGCACTAACCTTTCCATTAACAGCAAAGAGCTTCCCCAGAGCACCATCATGGCGTGTGTATAAGGACAGGTACAGGCTTAGGTATGTTGTTGTTGTGCCATTGAGCCGGCTCTGCCTCATAGACTCTGCACAACAGAAAGAAACTCTGCCCAGTCCTGCCCCATCCTTGTCATTGTTCCTTGTCTGAGTCCATTGATGCCACCACTCTGCCAATCCATCTCATCAAGCGTCTTCCTCTTTTTTGCTGCCCCACCACCACTACCACACACACTTTACCAAGTCTGATGTCCTTTCCCAGGGGCTGGTCTCTCCTGACAATATGTCCCAAGTGTGTCAGGGGAATCTTGGTATAGGTATAGGTGTATAGGTATAAAAAACAAATTCAATGCCATCAAGTCGATTCCAACTTATAGCAACTCCATAGGACAGGGTACGACTACCCCTGCGAGTTTCTGAGACTGTAACTCCTTACAGGAATAAAAAGCCCCAGTTTTCCACCTCAGAGATATTGGTGGTTTCAAACTGCTGACCTTGCAGTTAGTAGCCCGACACATCATTGCTACAACACCAGGGCTCCTATGTATAGATAGATGTATTTGTATATCTATTAAAAAATAAACTCACTGCCATCGAGTTGATTCTGACTGTATATGTATGTATATTTACTGCAATGATTTTAAAAGCATACTTTGCAATCCTTGAATCGCTGATGCTGGTGTGCTTCTTCCATGTGGACTTCGTTGACATCCCACTTGAAGGCTTGCTTCGAAACAAGCAGCCATCTAAGACCCCAGACGCTATCCTGATAGCCGGGCCCTGTCGTTTTTTCGCCACGTTTTTTGGTAGCACCCATGTCAGGTGTGTTTCTTTCATGCAGGCACATACAGAGCAGGGCCACGGTGCGAAAACTAACTGTCCTGAAATTGGAGCTCAGATAGTGTCAGAGCTCAAATTGTGAGATTCTGTCTTGCAGAAGGCTCTGGATGACAGTGGGAGCCTAAGATACATTTGCAATATGTACCCAGGAAATAGGCCTCTGGTGATCTCCCTCTATCCATAATTGAGGGATGGGGCAAAAAATTGACGACCAGATGGTATTGGAGAGGTGGCTATGGGAGATCAAAAAGATACACTTGACTTGAAGGGTTAAAACCTTGTCACTTGACTTACCCTCCAACCCCCACCCAATACACATTGGACCTGATCTTGTGTTCAATACTCTGTGTGTGTGCATTCACATATTGAGGTGTATCTCTGCTGTGTCTTGTCACTGTGGGTAGCCCTCCTGGATTGTTGTTATATGTTTTTTCTGTCTATGAAACCCAGGATCGATGAACTTATAGAATCAACAAGCAGAATAAGGGATCCTTGGTGGGTTATATTGGGGGAGGTGGGGGAGGTAAAGGGGATCAGATGTCAAAATGTTTTGAAACTGATTGTGGTGGCAATTGGACAACACTGCTGGATGTGATTCAACTATGGAACTGTATGATAGCTATAAGAACTCCCAATAAAACAGTTTTGGAAAACACAAACTCTGTTAGTCTGGGTGGACTAGAGCAACAAATCCAGGGACACTCATATGTGTATAAGAAAGTGATTTTTATAAAAGAGTACTTGTATATTAAGAAAACATCCCAGCCCAGTCCAGATCAAGTACATAAGTCCAATATTATCCCATATGTCAATACTAGTCCATAAATTCCTCTTCAGACTCAGGAAGTCATGCAATGAAACCAAGTGCAGGAAGATAACAGGCCAGTGGGTGGAAAATCTTGTGGATCCAGTGGTGGTGGAAGCATCTTAGCACTGGTGTGAGTCTCCAGATGGCTCCTCCAGCCCCAGGGCTCTGACTGCCATCACCATAGCTCCATGTATCTTGTCAACAGGCGTGTCTTTCAGGGAGAGGCTGTGTCTGGTATCCAGTGAGCTATTTATCTCCCTTTGTGCCTCCCATGTGAGGTCATCATAGTGCGACCTGATTGACAGGCTAGACTCCACCCCTTCGCAAGTTGACAGATTATGCAAATGTCACAGACCATCCCTTGTCAACTTGACACTCTTACACAACTCTTTAGCCATACATAATTTTTAGTAAAGCCAGATCTGTGCCTAACAGGATAAAACTAAAAAGCATACAATTCAATATGTGGCAGCCTCATTTAAGCATAATGTGCTATAAGTAAACAAAACAAAATATTATATGCCTAACAATTGCAGTTAAATGAATACCTCCACCATAATCCTATGAATATATTCTCCTACTAATGAAAGTTTGTAATCCACTTCATGCCTTCATCCTCCCGATTTTGTGTATCCAATTTCTAAACTGCCCACTTACATCAACCCAGTGCTCTGAGGAGACAATCATTCTTTGATGTGAAGAATCTTCATTCCAGTTGGAAAGTTGTGAAGTCTGAATCCAGAAGCAAAGTCAAATCAGGACAGGCCATCCATAAAGTCAGTAGCAACATGTTGTACCAGTTCACAGACTCAAATATCTTTTCTTCACCTGGTTGGGTTCTGGTCAACTGAATGTGGGCTGCCTCACCAGGGTGCTCATTGGCTGCCTTGCCTTTAGACCATGGTTCCCATCACAGATTCTCAACAACCCTAGCCCCTTGTGTTAGGTTATGAACTTCAGACCAGTCAACCCACTCTTGTCTTCTCCTCGGGTCCCTGTGAACCAGGTCCATGGGTGTCAGTGGCCAAACTCAAGTGGATCCAGGTGGTCACCTTTCAGCTTGCCCACAGGCTGAAAGTTCTAGAGAGGAGAGCTTCTTCACAGTTCCAGAGTTTTCCCGCCTTAAGCACAAACCACTAGTTTAAAATTTAAAAATCCAAAGAGTTCCCCCCACCCTTCAATCTGTCAATGGCTCCCTAGGCAAGTATCTTCACCTTCTAATGTCCTGAACACTCAAGACACTGGGTGGGGCTTAGCTTTTCAGAACCTTCTTTGCAGGTGTGTCCTAAACCCATTTAAAGATCAAATGTTAACGGCTCAAGGCAAGTGAGCTTACAAGCTCTCTATTTTCATACTTCCCAATAATCATTTCTATCTGTCCTTATATCAACAATAATAAGCAGAAGAAATCAGTATAAACAAAGGGGAATCAGATACTAAACTCAATTCTTAAAACAGTCAAGTTCAATCCTTATTTAGCTTATCTTAAACCTTTTCTATTCAATTGATACAAAGTATGGCCTTAAGCCTCTGACTGCATCAAGCCAGGGCCAGGCTTCCTGTTGCCATTTTCACTGATTAGCGTGGTCTCTGAGAAAGTCAAGAGGGGATTTCGCCTCCTGAGCTCAAAACATACATCAATCACATTCATTTTCACCCTTTCAAAGAGGAATAACCAAAGACAAACCCCAAACAAAATGATCAAAACTTTAACTTCCCATATTCTTTCCAGAAAATAAACCTCATGGCCATATCTGACTTCTGGCTAGCCAAGGCAGAGAAACGACCATGAGGAAGAGGTCAAACAAGCATCCACTCTCCATCTTCATGATTTGTTTCTCTAGTACCCCCCTCCCAAGGTACCACAATCAACTATCTCAGACGCCACGTCTCAGGAACCCAACCTTAAATGTCTGAAATGAGTGATGCTTTTTGTGAGGGTTTATGCTGACTAGCTCGGCCATACTTCATTCATGGGCATAATGTAGTCTCAATGGTACCCGTGGGCTGCATGGCCTCTCTCTTTCCCAATGACCTCCAGCCTCCAGGACCTCTGGCTCCAAAGGGTATCCCAACACTGTTCTTACTCTTGCAAGGTCAGTGCTGGCTGGGCAGGCTGGGAGGAGACGGTAGCTCACTGGACTGTGAATTCCAAGCATCTTCCAAAGGATGGGGACAAACATGTTTGGACATGTCCTGGGGCAGATCAAAGGGCTCATTAGTGACCATCATTAGGTCACATCTTCTCCAATTAGGGAGAATGCAATCCCCTGCTCATCTGGTGAGCTCAAATTGAGCCGGGGGCCCCAAGAGTGCCATTGAAAAGGCCACAGGGCAGCCATGAATTGGCAGGACAGTTCAATCAGAGGCTACTGGCTGACAACAAGAACCACTCAGAGCTCAGCACCCGTGAGTCGGTTCTTAGGAAAAGACCGGAGGATGCCCAGACAGTTCTCCGAGGGAGAGACAATGATGGTGGGAATCGGAGAGAACAAACGCCAAGTGTGAGCCACTGGCCACGGGCTCCTGGGACCTTGAAACGCTGGAGTCCCAAGGCGTTCTATAAACAGATATCATAGAAGATTAACAACACATTCTCCTGTGTTTAATGGAAAAACACACACACACACACGT